TCTTTTTTTGAGACAGGGTCTCCCTGTAGCCCCAGCTGTCCTGGAACTCACTATGTTGATCAAGCTGGCCTTGAACTCATAGAGATCTGCCTGCCTCTGCCTCCCAAGTGCTGGGATTAAAGATGTGCACCACCATGCCTGGCCCAGTTATATTTTTAATTAGGTTGCAAAATAGTAGATTTTCTTATGGAATTTTCATGCATGCTTCATTTTGGTTAACCTTTTCTCCTGAACTCTCATTTTCCCCATACTCCCACTTTTTCCCTGCTTGAAATTTTGCCCCCAAATATTCCCTTCTATACTTCCATTTCACCTATAGTCTGCTATCACTCTCCCTAAATGCACCGCACAAACAGCCCTTCTTGTTTTCTGGCTCCCACATGTGCTCCAGGTTAACTACACAACAAAAACTGAAAGCTAGAATCCACATAGGAGAAAGAACATGCAGTCTTTATTATGCTGGGTCTGGGCTGCCTCAGCACAATTTTTTCAGTTTCATGCGTTTGCATGTTTCATTTATCTATAGAGATCAATAAAACTCCATGGTGCATAAGTGCTATCATTCATTTAGCAGTTAATGGACATTTAGTTTGCTTGAATTCCCCAGTTGTCATGGATAGAGCAGCAATGAACATGGACATGCAAGTATCTCTGTGTTAGTATCTGAAGTCTTTTGGCTATAAGCTGGGTCATATGGTACTTCTAGTTCTGCTTTCTTTAGAAACTTCCAGGCTGATTTCTAAACTGGCTGCACTAGTTTATACTCCCACAAACAGTGAGTATATAAGAGAGCCTCCTTTTCCACATCCATTCCAGCAATAAATGATTTTTCAGTTTGTGCCTCTTTTTCTGCTAGTCCATTCAAGTAAAAGTCATTTCATTCTACCTTGGTACTTACACTCAAAGTAAGGTAACTTGGGTCCCAAATCTTTGTTTTATGAAGTGAAATTACTCAAGGCTCAGAAGGCAGCTGTTTTATACAACATCGACTAATGTTGTACAGACTCAGCATGTTCTCCTTAGTATTTTTATACCTAAATATGCTGACATGTAGGTGAGGATTTGGAGCAACCCCTAAGCCACTTTCACCTTCTGGTTTTGACTTCACATTAATACCAGATATGTAATAAAAATTTTCTATGAACTGTGGTTTTGAGTGATTTGATATCACTTGATTTAAAGAGATTTATTCATAGTCTTAAGAGAGTTGTGATGCCATTTAATGTATTTTGAATGAAGCAATGTATTTAATGTATTTTGAATGATGCCTAAGTTTCCATGTCTTGCTGCTTCTTTGCTTTAATGCTTCAACTGAACTCCTTATAATAAAAAATATTGAAGTAAAAAGAGTGCACACATGTCCACTTTTGATAGCCATTTCTTAGAATAGAAAACTTTCTTGAACAGTTTGATTCCCATATAAATTTTTAATACAATGAAAAAAAGCACCGCTTCAATACTTTGTGCCAAATATCACACTATTGTTTTAAATTGAAACATTTTCCATTATTTTCTTTCAATTAATTCTAAATACTATGTTCATAGGAATTTTAATTAGATATATTCTTCTTCAGGTCAACATTTTACTTTTAATTGAAACATTGCCTTTCATCTAGCAAGCACAGGTCAAATATATTTGTTATTAGAGAGCAGTCTTTCTTTTCCACTGGAATAAATGTAGGTCAAGTTCAAAGACTTCTCTATGATGCAATTATTCAAATAAGATTTTCAAGAAAGGTCCCACACCTGGCTATTTTCATCAAATTTAATGCTGGAAAGAATACCTCTGATTTTTTAAAAGTTGATTTCTATAAATAAGAATTTCCTTTTGTTGTACTGAAAAGACCAGGTTTGAAATTTTCACACCTTGAAATACTGTTCAGAATAACTGTAGTCTGTGTCTGTAGGTAGTTGGAGCTCAAATTCTGGCTCCATCCTTAATTGATGTCCTTTTAGTAAATTGCTTAATGTTCTTGTGCCTCAGTTTACTTATCTATAAAATAAAGATAATAGCGTCAGTCTCAAAGAGTAGTTTTGAAGATTACACAGCTTATTCTCTAAGGTCCTTTAAATTTTTTTCCATGCATATGAGTGTATTGCCTACATGTATATAAGTGCATCCGTGTTGTGCAATGCATGTGGATATTAGAAGATGGTGTTGTATTCCCCTGGAACTGGAGTTATGGACAGTTGTTAGCTTCCATTAGGGTGCTGGGAATTGAATCAAGATCCTCTGCAAGAGCAGCCAGGGCTTTTAACTGCTGAGCTATCTCTCCAGTCCCCAACTCTCTCTAAGGTTCTTGACCATAAGATACCTGGCAAATAATGTGATCTTCAGGTAATAATGGAAATGATAGTGCTTTAATGACATGTGGACAAAGTATTGGATCATTTTCTCATACAAGATTCAATGTCATCTTCCTCATCTTGGAATGTCTAAATTGCTGGGTACTGCCAGTTTCTCTCTGCCCTTTCTCATCTTGAGGCTGAGTTGAAAACCGAAGGAACAGTCCAAAGACTAATCACATAGACAGTGACAACAAAGAGGTCCCAGAGTCAGGTGATGTGAGAACATTATTTCCCTTGGGTGGAAAAAGAAATGCAACTTAAAGAAAACCTTGAATTCCAGCTAAAAGGCCCAAATTTCAAATCCCATGAAATATTTTGGGTCATACATCTGAGACAGAAAGCAGTGTTTAAATGGAAATAATGAAAACATAAAGCTTAAAGAATAACACGAAAAACAAATCAGGACATGTAGCTCAGAATCAAAGCCAGGAGCAGTAATGTTCAGCAAGTATGAATCGTAAGATGCAAGGTTGACTCAGTGGCTTAAAGATCCAGAGACATCTCTAATGATGAACTGCTCAGTATTTTTACTTAATAGGGAATGCTTCATAAATTTTCCTGTCATCCTTGCACAAGGGCCAGCTAATCTCTGCATCTTTCCAATTTTGGTATATGTGCTGCCGAAGCAAGCACAACAGAACAGTATTTAAGACTGCCTAAGTTATGACCTATCAGAATGTTAGAAAAAAATCATGACAATAAATCATAGCCTTCTGTCACCATTCTCCTCATTAAAATAAGCTGTTTTGCATAAAAATGGTAAGTAGTGCTGACAGCTGGCATCTTCGATGTTGGGGGGACCACAAAATAAGGAAAATGTTTAAAACAAGGTGTTTTAAATTCCATGAGAAAGTGAAGTGCTCATACTTTAAAGGATGAGAATAAGGGTCAAAATTTAGTTCAAGGTCTAAGAAGAAAATTGCCTTCAGAAATTAGTTTTGCAGTGTCTAGAAGGTTGAGCAGTAGTTAGGGGACTACAGAGAGGAAGAAATGGAGGGGACAGTGTATTGCTGAAAAATCGAAAGAAACTTGCATCTCCATTTTAAGTTTAGAAATATCTTGTCAAAACTATTTTAGTTTTTCTGTGGAATTTTTGACATTGGCTCTTAAACTGGCATATTTTTGAAATGCAATAATGGTTTTATTTTATTTGAAATATGTGGAGTAAAACTAGAGAAGGACTCTTGTCAGCACCTGTAAGGACTTTTCCTGTCTTGGCCATAAGGTCCAGATGGCTTCTTTTCCCAGGTGTCTGGGGTCTCCTAGATGTCTGGAGTGTCCTTGGATGTCTAGAGTCTCCTGTGTTTCCTTTTTTTTTTTTTTTTTTTTTTTTTTTGTTTTCTGGCTGGGTTTGTTCTTTTTCATAACCTCAAAGGCATGCACCTTCACAATGTCCCTTCATGGTTGTTCCAGTAAGACAACTCAACTTGGAACCTCTAAAGATATAAGTGGGCACTGCAGAAGTAAATAAGTTATCTAATAAGAAAAAGAATGACCTGGTACAATACATGGATAGAGACCCTTTTCTTTTTTCTTGAGGCTTTTACTAAAAAAGAAAAGAAAACAACAACAGCAACAACCTGACATTGTAAATTCTTCCTCTGCTTCTTTGAGAAGTAAATCTTTTTAAAAACCAATTTCAAAGTTTACAACTCTGTACTGTTTTTCTCAAGTGTCCTGAAGCCATCTATATAAAAGGCAATTATACAGGAAGACAGGATCCCATCTCCTGGTTTCAGTGGTGAGTATCAGTCTAATTTTCGAGGCTGCTTTGCTACAAGTGGCAAAGCCTCCTCCTTGCTAAACAGATAAACATTACTATTATTATTGGTTATGAATAACAACTTAATATAGACAATCATCCCTCTATAAGTAAATATAGGAAGAACCAGGAGTGGCATATAGGGAATCTCAAGTCATTTTCCTTAAGACTAGTCATTGTTTATCTTATGACCATATTTTCATTGGGTTTTATGGGTTTGTCTATATAACTGAGGAAAAGTATTCTTTTGCCATCTCCTTAGTGGATTGGATGCAAAGCACTTCACGACTGATTTAATGCTTATTTGAATACTATTCCCTTGTGTATGTGTGGAGAGGGTTTCTGAGGTGATACGAGATTATGACTTTGAAGTTATTTTTCCAACAATTTCAATTTCAATGCTCTCTGCTCTCTTGATACTTGTGGCTCAAAAAGGTCTGGAGAAGTCTGAGTGTTCTCTTTCCATCTAGGATTGTCAAAGGAAGGGGACCTCTGACGTAAGAAATAACTTGTTTCAGAAAGAGGAGCACACTGAACCCCATAAAATGAAATAAAAATAAAATAACTTAAAAATAGTAATACATAAATTTCAGCTGGAGAGACAAATCAGCAGTTAAGAGTGCTGGTTGTCCTTGCGGAGAACCAGGGTTTTTTTTATCCAAGCACCCACGTGGTGGCTAATAACTGTCCATAACTCCAGTTCCAAGAGATCTAACACCCTCTTCTGACCTCCTTGGGCACTGCATAACACGGGTGCACTTACATGCAGGATATACACTCATACACATAAGAAAATTTAAAAAATACATAAAATTTATGTTCAAAACTTAAAACATAAATTATGTTAAATGAAAAATTTAAGGTATTACATTTTTATTTTATTAAGCACATAATTTTTTGAAATTTTTATTATGGTATCTTAATTATACAGAATAAGTTTCACTCTGTCTTCATACGTTTACAACGTGCTCTGACAATGTTCACGTCTGCACTGCCCCTTACTATCCACCATCTCCCGGGTTCCCACCCTTTCTCTAATAGTTCCCTTTGTATCTTCATGTACCATTTTTCTGTATTCTATATATGAGAGAAAGATATTTTATTTATCTTTCTGAACCATCTATTTTCCTACAAGAACACTGTTGGTCTGACAAGAACCCACTATCATAAATATTTCCCATGTGTTCTTTTCCCAGTCTTCTGTTGAGAGGCACCCAGATTGATTGTATAACTTGGCTATTGTGCACAGCGCTAGGATAAGCATGGGCCTGCATATAGGCTTTGAAATGTGATATCATCGTAACATAGAAAATGTATTATTAGTCTTCTTATACAATGCTTCTTTAACTACCATATTTAATGATATTATCCTGGAATTCCAGTTTCCTCTATTTTCAACTTCTTTGGGGATTTTAGTCCTTGTGAATATATGTTGTTAAAATTTATCATTGGATTAACTTTGAAATCCAATCTTGTAATCTTTTGCCTTTTAGTCCATGGGATCTATAACATTTCTGTGTTTTCAGGGGCTGGGAAATTATGGTTATATTCACATTAGTGTCTACCATTCTAGGTTTGCTTTATATTTGTTCAGTCTGTGACACTTCATCTTTTGAAATTTTCATTTATCAGAATCAACAAATGGAATAATGAAATGTGATTCATTTATACATTGGAGTTTTACTCAGTAGTAAAGAAAGATGAGCTCATGAAATTTGCAGGTAAATGGATGGAACTAGAAACTGTCATACTAAGCGAAGTAAAACAGACTCAGAAAAAAAAAAAAAGACATGTTCTCCCTCATATGTGATTCCTAGCACCAAATCCTTATAAGTGAGTATGTATCCAGACACAACTACAGGAACCAGGATAATGGAAAGGAACCAGGGAGGTAAAGGAAAAAGAACCTGAAAGAGAAGAACAGTAGGAAACAGGCCTTAATAAAGGAGATATAGATAAAAATTGGGATAGTTTAAAGGATAGTATACAAGGAACCTAGGGGATAAAAGAAAGAAGGAGCTCAAGAGAGGTAGGACCATAGGAGAAGGGTATTATTAAGGGAGGAAGGGGAAAAATGGGGGCACCTTAAGGGGGAAAACTATGATGGAGGGATGAGACAATGTGAGAGATAAATAATGCCTAGCTAGTTTTGAAAACCAGAGGGAATCATAATTACTCCTACAACTTACTGACTTATTATACAAAGCAGATCAAGAAATGTATGCCTAGGTAAGGTTTATCTGAGAACAACTGGTCTTTGCCCAAGATGTATCTATATGACACACAGTAATTAAAAGTACCAGACTGGTGGAACTAACCTTCTTGGATGTTTAACAGCCATACTTTGAGGCCTATACTAACTTGGTCAGAGGGACATAAAGGACACTTTTTGCTCATTGCCCTCCTAGATCAAGTAGTTCCAGGGGACTATGAGCATCTCTAAAAATGTTCTGTAATTGTGGTGGGTCACCTGTCCTCTTGATCAAGGAAGTCCAAGGAGACCCCACCAGATGGACTTGAACCAGTGTTCAGTTTACAAATAGGGGGGTCAACACAGCGGAATCATTTCCTCCATGCTTCCAAGTGAAGCCAACCATGGTTGAGCAGGACCTTTGACTACTTATCTTCACATAGGTGGAACTGGTAAAAGAAAGGAGCCAGGGGCTCCTCCCAAGCCCATGTGACCACTGGGGAACAGATCCTCAAATGGTCTTAAGAGTAAAAATAAATTGGTTTATCTGGGCCAACTGTATGGCCTTAAACACCCAAAAGGAAAGTATAACCAAAGATTAAAGGGGCCAATATAATTTCTTGAGTCCATATGCATACCTAAGTCTACATAACAAGCAACAATGCCAGATATGAGATACCTTCTTTTGAGTCATTGGCCAGCATGGCCAAAGGGACTCCCAGATAATAACCCAGCCTAGAACTGGGAAAATGAACAGCAGACCCCAGTCTTATCTAAAGGAATATTGACAACTGATTACTGCTAGATGAGGAACAGCTGACCCTCCTAAAACAAAGACCTCTAGATAGGCTGACTAGATTCACTAGAAGGGCAAGTAGTCAGGAATGATTCGGGGTGACGACAACACAGCAGATAGTAGCAGGGATATCAGAGTATAAGGACTCTAGTGGGGGGGAGGGAGACTATGGGAGGGTGCCATCTGGGAAGTGGGAGTATAGCTGAATAAGATGGTTTGGGATGTTCTGTGTGATACACACACACACACACACACACACACACAATCAATAAATTTTAAAAAATGTATTTGAGGAAGAAGCATGGAAATTGCATCATGCTAATTAGTAGAGGTGATAAACATTATCATTGATATCAACCCAATGACTTTATAGACATCCACAGGCCCCAAGGAGCCAAGGGCAACCGATTATGACTAGTAATAATCAGATTACAGATGCATGTGTGAACATCTCAGTGTTAGTAGCAAAACCAATGAGTCTTTCTGCAAGGAACAATATATTCTAAAATGAAATGGAGATCTTTTTTAAAG